TTCACGAGTTTCAATAAAATCGAGTATTTAAAAAGAGGCATGAGATAATTGCCGATTAGGGCATTAACCTTTTGGACAATCTTAATCCTCGCCAATCTTAATCATTTCTATCGCTAACAGTTTGGTGGGGTGTGTTTTTTTTAAATTTTTTATCGTTACTCTGAACATAGTTATAGTCTTTACAGGGAAAAATCTTTTTGAATAATTCCATGCAAATATTGCATACGAAACTGTTTATTACACGAATCTTATATAACAGTAAAAATGCCAACTCCTACTTCTTATTAGCACTTTTCCAATTCATCCAGTACATTGTTTTGAAAGTGTTGTATTTCAACAGACACTACTTAGAACGCCGTGTTTACAAAACGGAGCCATGTTTGGTGTCAACATTTATGAAACTGTGCTATGTCAGGGAAGTATCAATGGACACCCTTACTCTAGCAAAATGAAAAGCCACCAGGAAAAGTTGATGTACAATCAGCTGTAGCTTTTACTGTTCATATCAGTCCATAACTGCTTGTAGAATGTTCTAGCAAATGCATTATTCTTCAAAGGTGCTTTATCGTTATTTTATTAATAGGTTTATTGATTTTATATAATCTATATATATAAAAGGCAAAGCCCTCACTGACTGACTCACTCACTCATCACTAATTCTCCATTTTCCCATTTTAGTACAGTAAAAATATGTTTTGACCCAAAAAAAATTAGCACAACCGGGGAATTTGGTACAGATGTTGGGTGTACCTTCCTTTTGAACATACTAAAAGTCCCCTAAAATTGAAGCTGTGCTACGGCTGCCATATTGGAAAATGGTGGCATATTTCTGTATTTTTCGCTATAGTGACTTTATTATTAGAGATACAGGAAAAAGCTAAATGTACAAAATGTAGGTCATCTAAAAATACACATTTTTTGTATTTACCATCTTTCTCTAAGCCCAACGGGTTTTGAGTTATTTGTTATTAACTATATTTAGTTTTTTCTATTTATCAAAAATAGGTGAAGCACATGGAAATTGACCGTTTCTTTCAAGGATTATGATAATTAATCCTATTTAGTTAAATAGTGTGATACTATAAAATCTAAAAATTTAAGCGTATTTTATGATTAAAACAACTCCGCCACAGCAAACCTGCAGACTCAGCAAATTTCCATTTGATTGGATATTTTATTAAAAAATGTATATAAATAAAATTAGGTTCAACAGGTACCTAGGTTTGCTGCTAGACGTAGGTTATTATGGTGTGTTTTTTTTTTAAGTAAAATATCAATACCTTACTATAAAAAACTAATTTTCCAAGTTTGATCAAAATATATCTATAAACAAGCAAACTGCAACAGTTAACTAATTCATAAGAATAGCATGGGAGTTTTAAATTAACAATAAACAAATTTGAATATAAAAACTTTGGTCGTGTTTACTAAAAAGATGGCGATTATTCGTCACGATTAGAATATTAACCAAATGGGTTTTCAAAAGGAGATGGAGCCTGTTATTTAAGTAATATTAATTCGTACCAAGCACCGAAAATATTGTATGCAGTAAGGTAATCTACCATTTTTTGTATAGTACGCAATAGTCATATTAATATTTTATCTTCATTTTTTACCCATTTAATAGTTAACATTTTAGTATTTTGATGGCACCACCACACTAACAAACTATACTAGACATCCCATTGTAAATTTGGAAAGGCGTTTTTCGTGTCTAGTTCATGTTGGTGACTAAGTATGGTAAAGTATACTTAGTTTTATTTATCAAAAATCAGTGAAACCCATCGCAATCGACGGTTACTTTCAAGGTTTACGACAATTATTCATCCCACTTAGTTGATATCAGAGTGATAGTGGTAGTGCCATCAAAATATTAAAATGTTAATTTATTAAATGGGTAAAAATGAGTATAAAATATTAATATGAATATTGCGTAGTTTACAAAATATGGTTGATTTCCTCACTGCATACAATATTTCCGATACTTTGTACGAGTTAATATTACAGTACTTAAATTACTTGCTTCATCTCCTTTTGAAAACACCTTCGGTTAGTATTTGAATCGTGACGAATAATCGCCTTTTTTTAGTAAACACAACCAAAATTTGTATATTTAAATTTGTAAATTGTAAATCTTAAGCTACCATGCTATTATTATGAATTAGTTAACTGTTGCAGTTTGTTTGTTTTTAGATTTATTATGATCAAACTTGGAAAATTAATTATTTTATACTAAGTTATTGATATTTTACAAAAAAAAACACACTATAATAACCTACACGTAGCAGCAAACCTAGGTACCTGTTGAATCTAATTTTATTTAAATAAAATTAATAAAACATCCAATCAAATGGAAATTTGCTGAGTCTGCAGGTTTGCTGTGGCAGAGTTGTTTTACTCATAAAATAAGCTAAAATTTTAAGATTTTATAGTATCACACTATTTAACTAAATGGGATAAATAATCATAATCCTTGAAAGTAACGGTCAATTTCCATGTGTTTCACCTATTTTTGATAAATAGAAAAAACTAAATATACTTAATAACAAATGACTCAAAAACCGTTGGGTTTAGAGAAAGATGGTAAATACAAAAAATGTGTATCTTTAGATGACCTACATTTTGTACATTTCGCTTTTTCCTGTATCTCTAATAATAAAGTCACTATAGGGAAAAATACAGAAATGTGCCGCCATTTTCCAATATGGCGGCCGTAGCACAGCTTTAATTTTAGGGGACTTTTAGTATGTTCAAAAGGAAGGTACACCCAACATCTGTACCAAATTCCCCGGTTGTGCTAATTTTTTTTAGGTTTATGGCATTTTTCTCTTATTTTTACTGCACTATTTACCTAGGAGGCTGAAATTTGGTACACTGATTCTTTAGACATTAAATAGGAAAACTAAGTCGTTTTTATTCTGATCGGACTCTCGGGCTCCGCCCCAGTGGCTCTGGAGTTTCCCATGTTAACCTTATGAGTACTCATATTTAAATGGAATTAATGAATCTTAACAGCTGTTTCAATTAAACAAGTTGGTTCTGTTCTATGATGTGCAATAGCATTAAAGTTACAAGGATTACCATCAGGGTGCATTACTATTTTTTTTTTTTTTATTATGACAACAGCTAATTTGCAATCAAAAGGTGAATGAGCGTAGCGAACGAACTTCAACCAGGACGTGGTTGAGCCATGCGAACGAGCTCACTTTTGAAGTAAAACGGGGCAAAGCCCGCGGATGCAGCTAGTATATTATAAACTCTAAGACCATTTTGTAAGCGAACCGTGATCAATAATTTCAGATAAGATGCATCAATCATACTATAAAATACGGTGGGGGAGCAAGCTGGTATAGTAGTTAGAGTGCGGGACATCGATTCCAGAGGTCGCGGGTTCAAATCCCACCAAATCCCCAATGGATTTTATTCATGTGATAATACCGCAAAGGTCTAGTCTGAAGTAATGTGAAAAACATTTCCGGGCTCCTAGGACAACAAAAAACAACAACAAAACTATAAAATACGAAACACTTTGAAAACATTTTAATCATTCACTCAATAAAATCTGCCTCATCTATTTGACGATGGTATACATCAAAGCATCTAAATTGGTATAATAAACACGATGCAAATCACATTTACTTAAAAGGGCATTAACTGATAGTGGCGAGGTGACCTTTGGTACGTTATCAGCTGTTTAGAGTCGGTGGCTCAACAAACCACGGCTTATCTGTCCATGGTCACCGGACACCGGTCGCTGACTGATGTCTCTCCACAAGTCATGAGTCTCTCTCCAGGAAAAGTACAGTAAAGTAAAACTTTATAAACACATGTTTTAAGAAGATACATTTGCATCATAGAATTCCTCAACGGTAAAATTATGTGAATGCATTTTCATTCAATTCTTGTTATTATTTGAAGTGTACGGAAATTCCTTCAATGGAGAGTACTCTTGAGTAGTCGTAAAAATGAGAGCCATGTTCCTTGGTGGTTTATTAATTAATTGTAGTGTTGAAACCCCTACAGTACTGCTGTTACTTTAAAAAATAACTAATACAGCTTATCTTTAAACGAATTAATAATTCAACTGCGGATTATTGTGAAGATTCTCCCACTATATTTTTAACAAATATTATTATGTTTCTTTAGATCTTCAGTCTGCCTGATATAAAAAACGAATGGTGTAATTTGGTATTCTATAAACTTCTTTTAATCTTAAACAAGCATAGACTCTACTAGTATAGTAATTAAGTACTTCGTCTTACTCATATTTTGTGATTTAAAATGAATCTTGTAGACAAGAAGCATACATTTATGCTTTATTTGGGCCAAATGTTCATTAGAAAACTATAAACCTACGGGAGTTTTGAGTATTTGATATGTAGGTATTTGACCTAATAGGTTAAGGTGTGAAATGATTGTTTAGGTTAAACATTTGTGGGTGGCAATCTCCTAAAACTTAGTTTAAATAATATACTTTGAGGTATTCCTCTCCCAAACGTGGGCTGGAGTGTGCAACGAACACAATTAAACACATTATTTTTATATGGATGAAAGCTGTTGTGATTTCGTGTTATTCTGTGTCTGTTTTCAAAAGACCTAACCAACCTTTAGACAGTCATGCCTTTGTATATTTAAATCATGGTATGCTTTAAATGTGTTTGTTTTGTATATTTCTTTGTAATAACAGTTCCTTGACTTATGCTGTGAAGCCCAAAGACGACTTGTTGGAAATTAAGCCTCGTTTCGTAATATGTAAGTGGTTTTATATTATCAACATTTTCGCTCAAAAAGTTAATGTTTGATGTATGATTGTATGATCCAAGTACTCAGTATGATTGTATTCTATGCGTTTTTGTTATTTCCATTAAATATTACTTGAATTTGAAACAGGTATTTTTATAAGCTTTGCAATTAGGCATTCTGTAATTTTTTTAATATCTAAGGCAGCTAAAAACTTAAACTGGCAAAGGTGAAGGTGGGTTAGGAATTATTCACAGAAGTAAAATTCAACAATACATTTAATAAATAAATAAATTAGTTAAAATATTCAGGAACTAACAACAACACTTCTTGCATCCACAGCCGCATCCACATTTACATCCACAACCACAGCCGCATCCGGAGCCGTATCCGTGTCCGTATCCGTATCCGAGTCCGTAACCGTGTCCCCAGCCGTTGTAGAGACCGTATCCGTGTCCGTAACCATGTCCGCATCCGCAATCACAGGGCTTAGCATAGACGTGGTGATGCAGGCAAACTTCGGGTTCGCAACAGCACTTCTTCTTGCAACAGCAGCAGCAACCAGCGTCGCTCTAAGGACAAACATTAACATAAATTAATTGATCCTGAAAGGTAAAACTATATATTAAGACAATACATATTTGTAAGTTCACGAGTTTAAAATTGTTTCTTGAAGGGTCCTGAGGAAATTGTCATGATTTTAGATTGGCAACATAATAAGTATACAACGTAAAAGATGAAATCTATTTTATAGAGTTGACAGTCGAGTTATACCCTCAAAGTCAGCACAACATGAAGGTAGTGTAACCATATTGAAAGTGGTTTATATAAAAAGATTACGCGCGTGTGTTAATGAAAGATTGACATATGTGTGAAAGCAAGACATATCAAGTAAAAACACTGAAGCCAGAATGAGATTACGATGCAAAATAACTCGGCACTCTATTGTCGTAAATATTCACATACAAGCGCACGGCAAAATATTTTAGTTGTTTTTTACTGAAATAAAAACTAATCACCTGAGTGTTTGCGCTGTTAGAGCAAAAGTACTTGAGGAATAACTTCTTAGTCCTAAAAAACATTTTGAACGATGCTCTGATGGGTTAGCAAAATTAAACGAATCACGTAGAAGCCAGATCTTAAGTAGTAAATTTTCGCAAGTTCAGACTGTGAAATAGTTCAGAGGAGTACACTTAAAATAAGTGTAGTCTAGTATTTGATTAAAAATCAATCTGGATATCCCAGTTTATTTATCTCTAATACTCCCTTAACTCCCTTATACTTAAACTGAATTCCCTAAAACAAAAAAAAACTATCCGAGGTCTTTAGTGTTTTGATTGACTTTTTAATTCGTGTATACGTAAGGTATATTTTGGTTCAAGATTTTCGGGTCCGTATCTAATGTTGACTATCAATAGCTAAACAACATGATTGGTTTGATGATATTGGAACGTTGTACACAGTAAAATAATCTAGGATAACATTGAAATGTTTTAATTTATGTTGGAGATAAAAACTCTTTAAATTCTAAGTTAGAATTGTATAAACCCTATATCCGAAAGGAAAAGAGATTATAACACATTTTGCCAATCAAAACGGAATTTTATAAAGAAAAATAACATCCGAGGTCTTTAGAGTTTTGATTGACTTTTTTAATTCGTGTATACGTAAGGTATATTTTGGTTCAAGATTTTCGGGTCCGTACCTAATGTTTACTATCAATAGCTAAACAACATAATTGGTTTGTTGATATTGGAATGTTGTATACAGTAAAATAATCTAGGATAACATTGAAATGTTTTAATTTACGTTGGAGATAAAAACTCTTTAAATTCTAAGTTAGAATTGTATAAACCCTATATCCGAAAGGAAAAGAGATTATAACGCTGTTAAAGGTATATATTGACACGAAATATAGGCTTTACCTGGGCGAAGATGGCGCAGAAAACGGCGAGAGCCAGAACGATTCCGACAGTCTTGGGGCTGACCATGGTGACGGTGAGGGTGGAGATGTTTGTTGAGGTACAGAAGAGAGATGGAAGAGTTGATGATCTGGAGGTCCAGGGGCAGGGTTTTATGGAGGGCAGAAGGTCGACAAAGATAAGGATCTGAGTGATAAGCCACGAGAGGCCCTTGACGCGACGTGAGTGATATCAACACCTGATAACTGATGTACCTAGTAACCTAACACGTAAAAACTCAGGGTCACTACGGTACAATTCATCTCAATTGTCATACCGTAGTTTTTATTTAATTAAGTCATTTAATCTAATATATAAAATTCTCGTGTCACAGTGTTTGTCTGCAAACTCCTCCGGAACGACTTCACCGATCGTTATGAAATTTGGTGTGTAAATTCTGTAGGTATGCGAATCGGACGTAAACTATTTCCCGTTTCGAAATTCTTAAAAGGGCTCCGCCCCAGTGGCTCTGGAGTTTCCCATGTTAACCTTATGAGAAATGGAATTAATGAATCTTAACAGCTGTTTCAATTAAACAAGTTGGTTCTGTTCTATGATGTTCAATAGCATTAAAGTTACAAGGATTACCAACAGGGTGCAGCACTATTATTTCTTTTACATTTATGACAACATCTAATTTGCAACCAAAAGGTGAGTGAGCGTAGCAAACGAACTTCAACCTGGAGGCGAGTTAGCGTAGCGAACGAGCTCCAACCCAAAGGTGAGTGAGCGTAGCGAACGAACTTCAACCAGGACGTGATTGAGCGATGCGAACGAGACCATCTTGAAAATTAAACGTAACGGTACTTTCTTTCCATCGGTCTGTCTTAGGGGAAACCTATAACTTAGGCGATACGAAGTTCGCCGGGTCAGCTAGTGAAATAATAAAAGTGTACCCTCTCCCTCTCTCAACTTCACGGGACTGGGCCTAAGGTGGATAGGATAAAATGGGCAACTGTGTTAACAGGTAACATATTGTAGAAATAACTGTTTTATTGATAACCAAAGGAAACCCTAGCTGGATTTACCATTTCTTGATTTTGCCATGCTTTTTTATAAAATCTACTGTACTCAACTAAGAATAAAAGTATCGCAAAATGTACTTACTCTAATACTACAACTGCAAATGTTACTCTTGAATATTGGTTAAAAACCACATTTAAATCTGAATGTCATTTTTATAACTGTATTTATAAATGTACGCATTTATAGTTGAAATAAACTTTTGTACAAGTTTAACTATGTTCAACAACGCTCAAAAAGTTAAAACTTGTAAAGTCAGTTTGTTCCACTTACAATTTTCCAGCATGAGTTTCAATTTTGCTTCATATCAAATTTATACTTGCACAGACAAGATTATATTGTATTACACTGCAGTAAAGATGAAAACTGAAGTCTCTAGCTTCATAGAAAAGGTAGGTTTGTTAAACTAAAGTAGTTTTAAAATTGATGACGGATAAAACTGCTTCTATTTCAGCTTGGCCAGGGTCAGCTAATCTGAAAGAGGGTTGATCCGGATCGGTTAAGGGGGTCTACTGTAACTTGGCCTGACATGGGTTCTTGTTTAATGGCCGCCTCGAATTGGATGATAAGCAAGGGTAGAAAATAAATTTTGGACCATTTGATAAATTATACTTTTCCGTTATACTCCACAATTCTTAAGGTAATTAATTGACAAAAATCTATGTTTTACATTATTTGCCTTTATGAATAAGCCCCCAGTACGATGTGCGTCTAGATTTGCTATTAAATACTGGCACACAAAATTGTTTTCGATGTTTAGGTGCACCAACTCAAATTACTGTAATATTTTGATATTTCTTTTTGTAAAAATTTCATTAAATGGTTATTAATGTAGCGAAATATATAATGTGGCATGACTCTAAACAAAAAATTTACTGGCGATATGATCATATTTTTTGTATCGGGGTTTTTTATCAGTGGACAAATTTTAAAATCAGAATGATGTAGTTGATGCTCTCGACTCCAGATGATTTTTGCTCTAATCAACTTGGATAATGCACTGTATAATAATAACTCGCCTAATCCACTGTATAATACTAATTTGTTAATATATGTATATTACGGTAAAGTAAAGGTATTGTTTTCAACTTCAAACTCGTTTTATTTTTATTTTAGACGCGGTAAAATTTCAGAGATATTAATTATGGTCCAACATACAGCTAAACTTTATACAACTAATTATTTATTTAAATGTTGATATTATATCATACTAATCATTAAAACATATCACAGAGGTAAGATTATCAGGTAAGTGATTTATTTAAAATTAGGTTATGCAAGTTCATATTGTAAGTGTTATGTCCGATTGAAATAATCAGCTGACTGGAATAGCAAGCGTTTCCGTGAATCTATGAAAACCTCAAACAACATTGTATGCCTATAACAATACGCACATTTGTTGCTTCATGTGGCATTGTCTTTTCAACCTACATATTTAGCAATCGGATGTTTTCAAGAAGTTACTTTTCCGTGTAGTTCCATTTTTTACTAAACCAGGTTTAACCTTGCGAAAATAAAAACAACATATTACTTTATCAAAAATGGTTTGATATATAGTATTTAAAAATTGATTATATATCATTATTATTTATTATGTGTACTTATTATTATAAAATTTTAAAAATAACTAATTACTGCAAATATTTCCTTCGTTTGTTTTACCCCATGTGCAGTATTAATACTTTATTCATTCTTGTATTTCGGATGGTTCGTTTGTGTTCAACATTCAATTCGAAATAAGACAAATCCACTTAATAAACATTATATTGAATAATTTATGTTTTCAAATTATTAATGATAAAAGAGCACAGCAAATGGGTTTCCACATAATGTGCCACACAAGAAGTTTAAATATTTGATTTTTACACATTTTAAAATGTAGAAATCAAAAAAATTCTGTGAAATTTCCAGCTCCCTACATGTGTAGAAACATAACGGTGGCACATTGAAAAAATAATAGGTCCTTAAAAAGTAAGATGAATGAAAAATACTTTTATTTTAACATTCTTGTGAAATAAATTATTTTGATCATCAAACTAGACCTTTGCCCAATAGAAAACCTAAATTTAGTGTCCGAAATTATTTACACTGTAATCCATCCACAGCATCACACAGTGATTACAGCGGCCAACAAATTAATTGTAAGCTTTTACAGAGAGATTCTACGGTATGGAGTAGTTCCTCTTCAATTCATTGTTTTAATCCCTGATTGAAGCTTCATGTAGGGCCTATAATCATGCTGATGCTCTGTTATAAGCACCCATGCAAAGAAATCTACTCATTTACTATAAGATTACTAAGTGGCACAACTCTTACTATTATTTAACAGATTCTACAATACCAAAAGAAATAGGCTACGCACAACACCTTATTCTTGTTTGACATTAAAGGCTATTTCTCGGACTTAAGTTTCAGTCAAACTACACAGGAGAAGGTTAGGTTATGTTTTTTATAGCTAAACTAAAGAACTAATATACTTCAATCAAACATCTGATCAACAATAATACTCCCATTTTGTTTTTACAACAATGTTAAGGAACGAAATTTGCACAAAGTATTTTTAAATCGTAATTTATTCATATTTTATTTTATTCATAGTTAACATATTTATTTATTTCTTAACTTCCACATTTTGTTATTCTTTTTGCTTGAAACCATTTATTATATCAAACAAAAACTCACATTAGCCTATGAGTTCGTTAATTAATCACTATCGTCCATTAGAAGAAGAAATATACACGTCATAAGGCATTTGTAATAATATGATACCTGAAACCTACTAATAATTCTGCAGGTTTTCAAAATGTTCACTGCATTAGTGCATATAGAAATAAAATCAAACGTTTAAACCTCTTCGTAGGACACTCTGTATAAAAATATGAAATAGGCTCAAGTAACTTAAAGATTTATAATACATACATTTATTGAGTCATAAAATGTACCATGTTCATAATGCTTTAACATCTAATGTAAAACTAATAACAACGATATAAGACTCTTCTTAGCTGACATAATCTGTAAATGATCATAAAAATGTTTTACCAAGAATCAAAAGTAAAGTTTCCTTTCTTGCTTTCCTTGTGAAACCTTTGGATGCTTGAGTGCGAGACTGCATGTGCCTTTGAGAAGATAACCATGCTTGAGTTTAATCAGGTACTATTGAAATCTAGGTTAACAAATCATTTTGTTTGTGTACTGGTGAAATTACCTGCTGTCAAGTGATCCTTTTGACCTTGAAAGGCGACCGGTTTCGACCCTCACGGGGTCATCTTCAGGCGGACGTCGTCATCGTCTTCTCGTTCTTGCGAACACGTCGTTTTTTAAAAAAATTGAGGTTTACAGTTTTTATTTGTTTTTTTAAAAACTGTAAACCTCAATGTTTTTTTAAAAAACGACGTGTTCGCAAGAACGAGAAGACGATGACGACGTCCGCCTGAAGATGACCCCGTGAGGGTCGAAACCGGTCGCCTTTCAAGGTCAAAAGGATCACTTGACAGCAGTTAATTTCACCAGTACACGTATTGATCAGTGATTCGGAGGCTTAACTCAAACATTTTGTTTGTTTGTGTTTTTAAATACTATACTTTGTTAATCAGATTGATTTCAGATCACACATCAAAACAGTTTAGCCACCATCCAAGGTAGACGTCCCGTGGTCTTGTAGATTGTCAGGTTGTAAAGGAACACTGACATGACGAGCAGGATCATGCAAGCCAGGAAGATATTCAGTTTGTCTACAAAACTAAGTTTCACCGAGTCTTCCCTGTGGCACAAGTCCTTTCGGTTCAGTAATATTATCTGAAAAATATCAATTACAAATTGCACTAATCCAAACATATATTTTACTATGAATAAGTTTACAATGTATTCGGTAATCTAACCTTTTTTGAACCTATAGTTTGGACTGCAAAGGATTTATAAGATTTGTGCTTGGATTTAAACTGCCAAGAGTATGGCTAACGTATAGGAAAAACTAAATCAATTATCAATTATCAATCATTGAGATGGGGATGCCTAGGTGCGTATTTTACCCCAAATATGAGTGAAGGGTGAGTGTAGAATGGTGTGTGATGACCTGTGTAGCTTTGTTACTGACTAAGATCTGCGGTTTCATTAGTCAGGATCATTTATTTAAAGCCCAATGATCAGTAACAGCTGGGTCCAGTTTCGAACCATCAAAAAGCTACTAATTTTTCTCTAGTTCAGAGGGTTATTTGGTCTTTTGGATGACAGAGTGAGCATACGCTGTCTTTTAGGGCTCAAATGAAACCTCAGTTGTCACTTCTAGTGAGAAAAAAATTGAGAATCCACTTCTTTGTGGAGTTATCACCTGAAAGTAAGAGTGAGAGGGCCAAATAAAATAAATTGGGAAAGCTCAGGTGGAAGATGATTATTTGTGCACTTTGGTATAATGAGATCAAAGTGATTGTGCAATCTGGTCTATTATAATCACTCGCATTTCACTTAGGCCTATCATCTTAGAAACTCATAAATATTACTAAATGTTGATCTACCAAAACGTCAAATAAGTAATTAGGTGTTATAGTTAACTAAGCTATAGTTTATTTTGATTTTGTTGCTATTTACTTACCAATTTATTTGAGTTTAAGTTACCACTGATTGACTCACATCGAATATCTTCAACATCTTTTATTATTGCGTTGTATTTTTTTATAAAGTCCTAAAGAAATATAAATGTAAATAATATAAAGAAATATAAATATAAATGATTATAGGGCTATTACAATAATCTATTGAACTAGAGTAAATATCTGTAAGCTAGGACTAAAATACCATTGTCATGTTATGTTGTGGTTATGACAATTTACACGTTTAATACAATTATGTGATAAATGAAATATTCAAGTGTTTTAAAAGTAATGTAGCTGATTTTTCTCAAATTGCATTTCTTAAGGTTCTACTTGCGATGGTTCTTAAGGTTCTACCGTTCTACGATATGCTAAGTGGTGGATCTGCCACCCAATGGTTGGACACTCACTATAAACTAAAAGTCCGATAGAGGTATCTAGATAAGTGTAGTACTCTCAAGCCTAGGGCCCTGCATCAACATAAGACATGACTTTCCATTACAAAAAAAAAACTGTTAATATTTTTACACAGTTCAAAATGAACTGAAACCACAGCAAACCTCTATTATATCACAGTAAAAACTATAAATTAATGTTAAATTTATTTTAACATAGCATTAGGTTGTTAGGGATTGGTGGGTGTTGCATTAAAGGCCCGATTTGCCAGAAGCGTCTTGTGCGTCTATCGCTCCGCGTCAATTGCTGCTCACTGCTTTGCATTGTTTCAGGTTAGGCTATTTTGCCAAAAGCGTTCATCGCTACAGACGCTAGCGTCTATCGATACAGACGCCAGCGTCTATCGCTACAGACGCCAGCGTCTATCGCTACAGACGCTAGCGTCTATCGCTACAGCCGCCAGCGTCTATCGCTACAGCCGCCAGCGTCTATCGCTACAGCCGCCAGCGTCTATCGCTACAGCCGCCAGCGTCTATCGCTACAGCCGCCAGCGTCTATCGCTACAGCCGCCAGCGTCTATCGCTACAGCCGCCAGCGTCTATCGCTACAGCCGCCAGCGTCTATCGCTACAGCCGCCAGCGTCTATCGCTACAGCCGCCAGCGTCTATCGCTACAGCCGCCAGCGTCTATCGCTACAGCCGCCAGCGTCTATCGCTACAGCCGCCAGCGTCTATCGCTACAGCCGCCAGCGTCTATCGCTACAGCCGCCAGCGTCTATCGCTACAGCCGCCAGCGTCTATCGCTACAGCCACCAGCGTTTATCGCTACAGCCGCCAGCGTCTATCGCTACAGACGCTAGCGTCTATCGCTACAGCCACCAGCGTTTATCGCTACAGCCACCAGCGTCTATCGCTACAGACGCTAGCGTCTATCGCTACAGCCACCAGCGTTTATCGCTACAGCCGCTAGCGTCTATTGCTGCCCACTGCTCCTGGAGCAGACGGAGACGCAGTCGCTAGCGATTATTAGTTGAAGAAACACTTGTTTTGATGTTTATTTATTTATTTAAGTTGTGTTTTATTTAATCAGTTAACAAACTAACTCAGCTGAAAATTCCGAAAAGTGACATTATTAAATATTAACCCTCGTTTTTATAACTATCCCCCTTTACATTATTATTATTCTTATGGGGAATAGCATTGAAAGTTGCCGACTTTGGAATGCTCATCTGAACCGTTTAGAAACCTGCTAGAAACTTGAAATTTGAATTGGGTGGAACTAAAATAATCCAGAAAATTTCCAAAAGTCCCATTTTCAAATTAAACCCCACCAAAAAATCCAAAATGGTTGACATCTAAAACGATAAAACATGTTTGATTAAACCGGCTAAAACCCAAAAACGGTAAGAGCTAAGATTTGAAATGTTTTAATGTTCAGGAATTACAAAACCCTCCTAGGCGTATTCCGAAAATCACACATCTTAAACCCTAAAAAACGTCTACCTACTTTCAAAATATGGTATTTTTTTTATATTTAATGGTTTTCACTACTTTTCCCTGCCTAAGTATTTTTTTTCAAATATTTTTAATGATTTGTATTCTCCTTAGTTTACTTTTACTCTTAACCATACAACAGTGTACAACGTTACCTTAAATTAGCACTAAAACTTTCAACAGTCCCATTTACAACTTTTAACCCCCCCCCCCCAAAAAAAAAATCCAACATGGCAGACATCTGAAAACGACATAACAGGTTTTTTTTACTTGGTAAAGAGGTAATAACTTTTTTGATATAAAATTTCCTTTTTTAATTGGCAAAGAGGTAACAAAGATTTTAAAGAATATTGATGGCCAGGAATAAAATTTTCCATTAAATCTGTTTGGGTATTTTCCAAAAATCACACCCCTTCACCCCAAAAAAACAACTCCTACTACAATTTTAACATTTCTGGAATTTTAACGAGTTTTTTATTTTTAAAACTGTTTAAAAAAACGTAACTCAGCTAACAAATACTATTTGCTTTTTACAGCTCATTTCAGAAACAGCACTCCTTTTGCCATCAAAGTTAACCTCTCACTGATTCAATAATCGCAAGGAACGGACGCTTCTGGCAAAATAACCCCGAGCGATAGACGCACCAGACGCTTCTGGCAAAACAGGCCTTAATTCTGAGTTTAAATTTAATCTTAAGAGATAATGAAAATTTGAGTTGGAGCGTGATAAGTTACCTTTTTTAAATTTACAATATAGTGGCACACTTGGTTGATGAGAAAGGAGAGTGGTCAGCGTAGTGATGAGAGGTTTTTATCAATCCGATGTTCAGTGCCACTACAGTGAGAAATTAAAAAAAAAAAATTACCAAGCTCCACACTATATATTTCAAAACAGAGATGAACGTAATCACCCAGCCATAAACAAATTATAGAGTATGTGTAAAGTAGTACCCGAAAGTGAATGGTGAATTTGCAATCACATTTCCAAGGATTGTTGCCGAGGTAGATATGGCTCAGCTTATGATGGCTTTGGAACGCATGGTCGAGGGCATATAGTGGGATCTGCACAGAAATGAAAATCCATTACAACACAACTCGCAACATAATATTGCAGCTAAAATTAACTTTTATTTTATTATTTTAAAGTGATATAAAAAGTAATGTATTTTATAAAAAAAAAGTAATGTCTGATTGTCAAGTAATTTCAATTTGTTTGTACCTGGGTTAAAGTTATGGCGAAGGAAAAAGTGGCGGTACCATACTAGTAAATTTCATGGACTCATCAATGAAGCTGTTATAAGTTTATATACTAACAAAGAGACGTAGGGTAGAAAGGAAACATTCAATGGTGTCTACATTGTGGTTGTGACTAGTGTAACTGGTTCATGGATCAGAGCAAAGTCCAACACCACCCCCTCGCCCTGTACTACAATGTTCACTGGAGGAAGACCCAGTGCTATAGGAATTTCTGCACAGTGCTCAGCTGTGCTTGAGCTCTTTCTCGCTCTTCATAGGTATATTTCCTGCAAAAAAACTACTGTAGAGCTGTAAGCTCAGGGTCCTTCGATAAACTAAGTTTCCTCTGTACCTCACTGCTCAGTGATCCTAATCTTGAAACTTTACAAGGATTTGGATCCATCAGATGTTGTTGTTGTTGGATTTGAGGTTGTATATTTTGTTTGATTGTTATTATCAGAGGCATCCATTTAGCATTATTATATTGTTCACCTTCTTATTTACTTGGATTCTGAACATGCTCCTCTCGTATATGAATGTACGACAGACAAAATAAGGAAAGAATGCAATAGCCTCATATAAAATGAGCAATCAAAAGTTATACTATGTCTAGGACTAGGATGATTATTTTTACTATGTTAACGATAAACATTATAGTGGAAACCACTTATTTTCCATTAAAGAGCCAATGGAAGTTCAAGTTAAATATAAATTGACTTTCCATAAAAGACACAAAATTAATATTAATCTTTAAACATTGGCAACTTTGTTTGTAATGTCTAGATTTACTCCCCAGCCAAAACATAGTTCTGAGGGGATTCATAAAAAACAAATAAAAGACTGTTACCTGTTTAAGCTGGTTTCCTCTAAGATTCAACACACCAAAATTGTTGATCCAGTCACTTCCCTCTAGTATGTTCACACTTTTAATTTGGTTGTTATCTAAGTAGATTTCTCGTACGTTTTGGTAGTGTGGGTTGAACACCAACTCCTCAACAGAAGTCAACTGCAACAAATGTATTTTTTAAAGATTTATTTGAACATTCAAACAACATATTTCTAACCCAAACAGGGTAACATATTTTGGCTTTATTTTTAGGAATATGTGATGTCAAAAGCGAATAGGAATCTCTCGTCGGGAATTTTTGAAAAAAAAAAAATTATTATAAATATTTGAATTCCTTATTCAACTCCGAATCACTTGGTGCAAGTCTACAAGGAAGTACAAGGAAGTATCTACGATTTGTTGTTGTTAAAGTTATAGGACTCTAAAATTTTGCTATGGAAGAGGGTCATTTTGAGAAAAAAACATTTTGAAAATTTCAAATACGCATAAAAACAAGTTTTTTTATTTATTTAATAAACGATTTTGGTATTAAAAGAAAGCTTATAATGTCCTCTTTAGAGGCAATACTCACAGTAGTTTTCATTTATTAATTTTTTTATCAAAGCATGTCGTAAAAATCGCTTTTCAGAAAAGGGATCTCTTGTCGGCCCTATGTTATTTCACCATAAGATAATAAAAGGTACCTCTTGCCGGGACCGCAAAATTTGTGAGATATTTTGTTCTCCGTAACTGAACTTTGTTGCAGTTCTCTAAAGTCCCACTAGAATGCAGGACAATTCATTTTTTGGACTAAAGTCTGTTTATAAAGTGAATATTAGAAAAGGGACCTCTTGTCGTTATGGCGAAATAACATTGAGCGACAAGAGGTACCTTTCTCAGACCATGCAGGCAGAGGCTAAGAAAATGATTGATTTCCACCTTTTACATCTTCAATTCGATATTTTAACCGATACTGCCCTGTTCTATGTTAAATGAGGTATAACAGTCGATAAAAAACCAAATATCGATATTTATTAAATAGCAACCCTGCAGACGCTCAGGCAGCACCTACCTATGTCTGCTGTGTTTCATAAAATCATCAAATTAATTATTACAGAAAATTTAGAAGAACAAATTAATTATGTTCTTTTTTATTCATAGTCTTAGATTATATTTTGTAATTGTGAGCATATTATGTATTAAAAAGTATGTTTCTTTCTGTATACATTATTTGGAAATAAACGTATATTTCATTCATTCATCCATTTCATTCATTCATTCATTTTTGACCTTAATTACTTATATCCGCCGTACTGAAAATTTTGCATCACCGACAAGAGGTCTCTTTTCGCTTTCCACATCACATATTATGAATGCATTACAATTAAAAAGTTTTCTTTCATGGGAAAAAGCCATAGAAAGTAAGTTCTCACTCTCCTTTTATTTCCACTCCTTATTTGCTCTGAAGCCCCATGTAATTGATGAAAACATACTTCTCAGTTGGGGGTTTTAGGTGCCAAATAACAATCAGACACAGTTTTCTTTAGGGTCTATCTAACTTACAATCCAATATCCCCACTAATAACCACAGTAGCAACAACAATCTTTCTTATTTCCAAAGTGAAATTTATGACCGCCTTACTACACTTGACACCAAATATGACTTATGTATTTTTTAAGTTATTGATATTTATGTTTGTCTGTATATACGTATGGAACTCACGATAATATTCTTTTACAGCAACTAAACAAACACTTTTTAAAACAACAGAAAACGTAAAATAGTGGTTGAGTATCAGTGCTGGATTATTTTCCAAGTACACCTCACCTTGAAAATATGCAATGGTAGGTTATAGTACAATGTACTATTTTTATATTTTACAGTTAAAAACATATTATTTATGGTGCATAATGTTTGAGTGTATGATCTTAAATGTACAGCATTGATAAAAATTCTCAGGATCCCTATTTCACTTTTCAATTCTGCCTTAAGAGAAATATCTCTTATGCGGTTTTCTTCCTTCATAAAGGTCTTTCAAATGAGGCATCACTTCATTTGGGTTTGTAGTTTAAAGTTTTAGGCTATCCCCAAACAACCTCATTTTGGAGAAATTGACAAAGTGGTTATGTCACTAAAAAAGTTAATTTTCACTGCACAGAAAGATGCACTATGTTTGATTCCCCTTCTAGTTTTTATTGGCTCTGTATACAGGTAACCTACTGACACAGCATCTTACATGATTTCCCCTCAGGTAGAGAGCTGTTGTGTAGTCAGGCAAATGTGTTGGCATCGAGGTAAAGTTGCGCCTGTTACAGTTGACCTTGATGTGGGGTAGAAGCATCCCTCTCTCGGTCACCAGATACGTGTAGGCCCTCACCACATGATCTACAGAACAGTTACATGGAGGTGGGCATTGGCTCTGCATAACCTGTACACATAATTTACAATTTTCAGTCTCTTTGTATCTGACATTTGGCTATCTACATAGTTTGTGTGTGGAACGCACCTAGCAAAGTAGGGGGTGAGACGGAACCAAGAGAGAACTGTACTAATAAAATATAGTGGCGAGTGCCAGGACGCAAACTCACTCGCTGCCATGAATTTGTAGTCCGTCGCGCTACCGACCGAGCCAACGATTCACACCATTATGTTTCATGAGGTTATTATACATTTCACATTAATTAAATGTGAAGGTTTTGAAAATACAATCTGTAATCATGCTTCCCAGTACAGTAATGTTCAACCAATTGATTAAACCAATGACAATACCGGTAGCAGTGGTGTAGCCGTAAAACGTCATAACGCTGCGTCCTATTTTAAACATGCTGTTCCTGACCATACTACTTTCTTTAGCTTAATCCAGTAGCACCCAGCGTGGTTACTGGAGTTGGAGGAATACACACTTACGGTGTTGTCCCTCCAACCGAGAGACAACACCATTGAATCCCATCTCAGTCTGGTCTGGTGTGCAACTGTACGTGGTAGAGATTGGTTGGAGAGGTCAACCTAAAATAAACTGTGGAAGGTTTGAATAGTTTGAATAGATTGATTCCTGTAAGCTGGACTTCAAACTAGATATTTTGCTACTTTTTGCTTATCCTTACTGTATTTCAGTTCTCCAAAAACCTTTTATATCATTTCGATTCCTGTCTTCATAAGGTGAGGATAAGCATGATAAAATAGCCGTGATTAAATCACTAAATAATTCATGAAGTTCAAAGTGTTAGTATAATACATATTATAAAGCGTAAATACCCTGACATTAATAAAAACACTCTTTCTAAACTGTGTAATGTTTGGACTCTAACCTTAATGAACTTCATGACTGGGACCAGAGGCTTAGGCCATGTCTTGCTCTTCCCTTCACAGTAGAGTTCATCTCTATCTCGGACCTTGGACCCAACAGAGTGACTTTCATTGGCAATGATCCATAGCAATCCTGGGTCGCACGTCCAGTTGTTGCCTGCACAAAGATCTGTTTACTTATCATATTGCTGTTTACCTAAAAATTTGATGAAACAATAGTCAAACCACAGAGAAGTAAGCAGGTACAGAGGAAACACTGGACGACTGTGCGAATGCAGCTCTGGTATGCGGATATATACATGAGGCGACCAAGGAAGAGCCTAAATTTCAAGCACTGTGTGGAAATTCCTATCACACAATGCACGGGGTCTTCCTCCACCTTGAGCATTAAGATGGTAATGGTGGTGGACTTTGCCCTAGACACCAGCACTAGTGCTAGACGCCACTTGAGCGTGTTCTCTGCAACTTACTTCTCTGCAGTCTCCAAAGTGAATTTTAGAATATTACACCTTCATGGAGTGCTTTAGGGTATAGTGGTATGGTATTGTAATTCATGAAAAGCATTCTAAGAAAAAAAGGGTAGAAAAATTTAAAAATGTAAGGATTAATTTGAGTCCCAAAAGCATTTTGTCTTCGGATCTATTAATTCAAATGTTTTCAAACAACAAGATGGTTTAGGAAGTAAAAATAACATTATTTTATCTATCTCTTTACCTTTTTAACACTTCACCAAAAGATGATAGTATACAATACATCAATGACATATTTGCAATATCAGACTATCACTGATCAAATCACTGTGGTATTTTTCCATGACATGAGGCAGTAAGCCAAAGCTATCATATAATGATGATTCCAATTAGGGTGAAAGACAACACTCACTGAAGTTTACCAATAAGGAATATTTGCTGCAAGGCTGGTAGTCGAGCAAATACAGAGAAGTTGAGTGAAGACAACTGGTTGTTGCGGAGATCAACGGAAGCTAGGTGTGATAGTCCTGAGAAAACCTCTCCATTTAGTTCTCTCAACCGAAGTGAAGTTAGATTTACTGACTGAAAACATCTAAAACTATATTATGTCTATGACCACTAGACTTTGTAGTTTAAGAGATCAAGCTCAATGATTATGATTGATCGTTACATTCTACTTGTTGTGGTAACATACGAGGGCTGTTCAGAAAGTAAAGAACGTTTCTGTCTGACGCCAATAGGGGCATGCTTATCACCTACCCTCTAGTGTAGACTCATTCATCTACTTAATGTCTTTCCATTCACAGCTAGCAGCCATAACAGCGAAAGTGTCGTTGGGCTGGCTGTTGTTGCAATGTTAAAGTTTAAAATGTTTGCTATAGTTAAAATACCACTAGGTGTAAAGTAATATCTGTAATCAATCACTACCATCTTTTATATATACGTTTCATCATAAAATATGGACGTCTTCTTAAAATAGTATGAGTGTAAATATATATATGTTTCAAATGTTATAAGACATACTTTTGTTTACTCTCTGTAAAATTAATAACATGTACTATGCTGATTGCTGAGTTATCTGTAGTATGTTTTTGTTAAGCATAAACGTAAAACTTATATAAATGTATTGTTAAGTGTGTGAAGTGCTCAGACACAACGTATAAAATTACATAGAGAGTAACATAGACTGCATTCTGTACTTTGTCCAGAAATCCTTCATTCAGTTTCAAAATGTCAAAACTAAAGTCAGCAACTAGTGTTTCTCCTAGTATTCCATGCAGTCGTACCCAGAAGACCTAGTACTTAGTGTTAGTGATTGTGACGACTGAAGCCTTACTTCCTATGTTCGAAAACTAAAGTAGTTGATGTAAGAATTTTTTTATGCATGGCAATGCTCAACTTCACACAACCAATCGCACACAAAGATCTCCTTTTTTAATTTAAAAGGGAGATTCCCCCTTAACTACCCTCTACAATCCAGAGACCTTGCTCTGAGTGACTTCCACTATTTCCTAAAATGAGACTTGGGTGGCAGCACATCGCTTTGGGGACAATTAAGGAACACAACACAATTTGGTACACAATTTGGCACAATTTGGAGGACAATTTGGTGTCATGAAGTGGCTGAGCTTGCAGATGGCAGAGTTCAATGACAAAGGAATTTTAAAGCCGCGAGCCATTCTACAACCATTCTTTGTCAACTATGTAAAGCGAAAGTATTTTAGTGGCTTTTTTAATTAATATAATTTTTTGCCCTGTACAAACTTTTAGTTTTATTCCAAAACGTTTGTTACTTTTTGAACAAACCTCATATTTCATTCAACATTTTTCATAGCATCCTTCAAGTTCAGCCAGCTTGGGGCCAAACTCTTGTCCAAACATAGAAGAAGTTGGAGCCAGTAGGAGCATGTTACTGCAATTTGATATTCATATCCTGATCATGGTCAGTATGATTACACACAGTTTGAAGGTTCAAGAAGATCCATGCCTTAAGTTGAATCAAAGCGAACATTGTATTATTGAAGGAAAAGAATTACAGTGAAGTTAGGTACAGTGAGGAAAGTGGTGGGTACGTGTGCTACGGTCATTATTTAACTTCTTACAAAACTAGGATATATTTCCCAATACTCTTTAGATACTTAAAAGAAAAAATGTTTATCATTCTTACCTCAAGCTGTTGAAGATTGGAGAAGGATTCAACCCGTTGTACAGCGCTGTGACACAATAGCAGGTGTTTCAATGCAATTAAGTGACCGATGTGTTTGTTTACTTTGAATGTACCATAAGGCCATGCACACAAGGTAACGTTTGTGACATTTTGACTGAAACTAAATTGCACAAATGAAATTACATTACAATATAGTCTGATTTGAGAATGATTCATCTTCACAATCCTGAATTGACGGTCATTGTATAGCATGTTGAAAAATGCAGTGTTCCTAAGTAACAGCGAACAGCAAATCTTAAAGATTGGTTGCCTAGATCTATCAAATACTCAAAAATATTGAATTTACTGAAATATTTAACTAATATCAACAAAAAAAAAAACTACACTAAACAAACAATCATGTTTTAATGCAGTATAACTTAACAGTATAGCTACGCCTCATAGTCTATCTTTTGGATTCAGTTTGCCTCAGGAAGTCAACGATGGTAGAGTGTATTTTTGAGAATTGTGCAGTTGTTCAGGTTTTAGTCGCATGTTAGTGCAATTTAAGCACTTTAGTTGTCAAGTTAAGACAATGATGGCATAGTAGGTTGAAAGTTTTACAGGTTGTAAGTTCTGTTTTTAGTCGCATTTCAGCCAAAAAACTGAGGTTACAGGAACCGATCGGAAAAGAGAAGAAACGTTGGGTTTTTGGTTAAAAACGCTTCTGTAGTGTACGATTGAAGGAACTTCAAAGTTAAATTGCAATGAAGAACACTACACGTGTCCCCAATGGCTTTGACATAGCCCACTACTGAAGTTGCACAACACCACCACAACACGAGCACACAAAAACCGCAAAAACAGTCAGGACTGCAAAAATGCAAACTGTTCACGACTGAATATTAAACCTGTTTAATCCGTTCGTGGATTGTTGCCACGCTTGGTGATGTCACAGGAAATTCACTATATTTGTCGTTCTCAAGGAAGGTATTTTCACAATGTGAGGTTAACCCTGACGTCTCACGCCCCGTGGGACTTAAGTACTACCGAAATTGACTCATTTGAGTCACTAATACACATCGTTATTGTACTAATGGACTCTATAGATATAGCTTGAAGTAATGTGTAAAACGTTGCTGCGCTAGAACCTATCATCCTAGGATATGAAGGTGGAACATATAAAAATGTTGTGAATTATTTGAGATTCGTGTTGCCTTGGTGGTTACCTGATGTCAGTGTAATGCAAGGTTGGAGAGACTCCAACACAAACCAGGTGAACATTCCCCTTCAGTTCACATGTTGTATGTTTCACTTCCTGACAAACCTGAGGGAAACACTCACAGGTCAACCATCCAGTTGTCAGGAAAAGTCTGCAACCAACATTTTACACATGAGTTTACAAACAGGTTTATCCCAAAGGCAAGGTTTAGTAACTAATCAAATGAATTTATATTTTTCAGTAAATACTGTCATTAAAATTAGTTGAAAAAGTTGGTTGAATAAAAAAGTTTGACTTTAGGATAGCAGTTTCATCAGTTATAATACAGGGTGACACATGGGAGACGCACGGTTTTCATCTGCGTAGTACTGAGGGTGCGGTGGTCTGGGTAGGCATAGTTCTGCTCTACACAAGATGTCATTTCATTAACTCAGTCACTGGATACTCAGTTAACTGGATAAAAAGCATCCTTGTCTAAAACGCAGTGTTACAACGCCAGAAAATGTTGAGAAGGCAAGGGAAGCGGTAGTCAGAAGCCCTGGACAGTCAGCTAGACGTCATGCAAGTAAGCTACAAATTAATGGTGAATCGGTTAGACAAATTTTGAATCCAGTATTTTTCCAGTCAATCTGAAGTATTTCACCAATCTGAGGATTGTTTGGCTCGGAACAGCTCAACGTTGACCAACATTAAACCGTGCACAAAACTATCGCTGTGTAGCTGTAATAGACTCACCACTTCTCACAAAACTGTCATAGACAAACAATCGACATTGCAAGTCCCACTGTTCCATAGTGACTGAGTTAATAGAATGGTGTTTGTGTTGAGCAGATAGCCCACTAGAACCACTTCCCACCACCGCACTCTCAGTACTACGTAGATGAAAACCGCCTGTCTCCCGTGTGTCACCCTGTATATACAAAATTCCCCCGCAGCAAACCTGCAGACTAAGCGAATTTCCATTTACCTGGCTGTATTTCTATTAAATATTCCCTAAAAATTGTCAGATTTATTTCCTATTAAATTGACATTCATTTGGTTTGGAGAGAAATTATAAAATTTTGTGTTTTTAGGGACAAAAATGGGAAAAATAAATTTTTACCCCATAAAACCACCCATAAACCCCCGTTCCCAAAGTCCGATTATGCCGGTTCGCAAACTCGTTAGAATAAATGTAGGTTTACACGTTTGTACCGAATTTCATCAAAATCGGATCATTTTTGCTCGAGTTATCGCACTAACGGACACATATATGAATTTGAACGGATGGTGTTTTTGGCCTCTGGGGATCTCAAAACGAAATAGTAAATCGGTCCCGGGTCTAGGTCTTACCATGAGACCTAAGGTAATAGCTTATTCCCTATATGGGAAATTCGCTAAAAGAGTTTTTCTAAGAAAGAACTTGGTTAGTAGAAGATGTCTTCTTTTGCTTAGAAGATATGGTTGAATGTGTGAACCACCAACATAATTACGATAGTCAGATCATGGTTCACAGTTTATATTGTAAGACTATACCACTTTAATTCTGTCAGTAGAGCTCAATCTCAGTTAAATCTATACATGTTTTGATATCAAGATATCATCATCAGCAGGTATTATTGATTTCCTTCAGCCTGTTAAATCATCAGATAGTATGAACACAATACACACATTGTAAAATAACACTTATGTAGGATTATTGACACATTAACAAGCGTGTAGTTCAAGTCTAGTGGTTTCAATCCAATGAAAATAGATTTAAACGATTACATTTTGTCCTATTACCACTGAGATGTTTCCTGGTATAAGATGCAGAGATTACCGCTAGTCTAAGAGGGTAGTCCACCACCTATCATTAGTGGTGGGACGTTTAAATCTAGATATATCTGTCTCCTTTGTTGACCATAAGGGACAAAGCCATCAAAATCCAGATTCACTAATTTACTAAAAAGACTATGTGATTTATGGTCTGAACTTTTTCACTTAGATTCATGACCGACTGACAGTCATTCCCCATTCAAACATCCAGTGGTTACATTTACCCTGTTTAGTTCAGTGTGAACTGTGAAGCCTACAAGCTAAGTCCACTACTTCAATGGTGGGACATTCCAACGATGAGAAGGCTCCCAAGAGGAAGTTATTTACTATCTCAAACACATCATTCGAACATTCTCTTCTACTATACACTATAAGGATACACTATACACTTCTACTATAAGGATGAATGGGTAGCTGAGGAAAGGATAAGATTGTATTACACGGCTTTAAGATTTACTCTTTACATCACAGCAACATCACCTGAATCTTCATTGGAAGATATTTTAGAGGTACACAGGAAAGAGCGTCATTGCTCCAGCGAGTCATCAGCGTCACCTCTACTCCTAAAAATGTGAGACTGTGTAGCTATTCTATAAATTCTCAATTATTTTCCTAATTTTTCTATCCAAACTTTTGCCTGTCACTTACTCTACCAACACAGTTGTGTTTCTCTTGTATCAAAATACAGTATCATGAAATTAATGTTTTTCTCCCATATCAGTGGTGATGGGAAGTATTTTCTCAACATTCAGCAAGTTCACATTCCTAAGAATCGCAATCACTATTCATGAACTGTGAATAAAGCTGACAAGTCTTAAGCTGTAAGTCTTTATCTATGAAGTACGATTGGTTGCAAGTGACAATCTTCCGCACATAATAAAACCGTTCCTCATCATCTCATCTCCTTGAACTTACAAACATTGGCTCTGTGTTTCTTCGATGTCCACAGTTACTAGTGCCTGACTACCTATCAGTACTGAAAAGATTTTTGTACGGTGAGTGTCCAAAAAATATAACATTTTTTGCTGTCTCAGTTTCAAGAACTTGAATTATATTAGATTTATCTTTGTTGTTGTTACCTGAGTTCATGCAGGATGATTGTGTTATGTCTTTCGCCACCATGTGTGACAACTTCAGAGGTCTTCTCATGATTTGATCTTGATATCACTAACACTATAAATCAAAATATTTACATATGTCGCTAGTATTGTGGTCGGGTTGATCAGACAACACGACAACGGACATTCGACGGAGATCTTTCCTCCTCCATTTCATTTCTTACACTAAGGGTGTGACATTTGGGCCATATTAGGTTGAGGGTGGTTTGGACTTTCCTAGTTAATGGTCAGGCGGGTGCTTTGATCCATGTAGTGTTGCCAGTTTATTACTATGTTTCCAGTTTTGTCTGTTTTAATGTTGTATATTAATTTGAAAAATTTTAAGCTGGTGTAGTCTTCTTTTTTGTTTAGTAGGGTGTTCGATCCATTTACATGTTTCTATATTTCTTTCTTGTACATTTTCTAATGGTTTTGAATGGGTTTTGTTCAGTATTGTGAGGGAATTGGGAAAAGTTATTGTGAGAGTTGGATTTTACTTTTGGTTATCATCGATTTAGAGTTGTTATGATGACATGTATTATGTTCCCTGTATCGTTGGAAAAATGTTCTATTGATGTAGCCCAGTAGGGTATCCAGGAAGGGGCCCAAGGGGGTTGGAGATATATTCGGCATTGTACCGTGATCGTGGGAGACGTCATTAGTGTTTTCGTGACTACCGGAGACGATGATGGTGATTCTGTTACTGAGGAAGATATTTGGATACTGCAGTGATTTTAGAAGACGACGATAAAGTCTTTACCACTGCGGGAGATGATCGTGTTCATAAAGATATCTGAACTGTTAAAGGTTACTCTTAGTGTAGGATTACACTTAGATGATTCTCCACATTAGAACCTTCAGAGGTGTTATAAAATGGATTTTAGCACCTTAAAATACTAAAATTTCTGGGGGGCTCCGAACATCAAACATTCTACTCTCTTAATACTTACTTACTTACTTATTTACTTACTACTCTTAATACTGGGGCCATTTGTACCCCAGTCGGTACTTCGCCTCAGTAAGACAGCGCCTCCATATGTCCCTGTCCTCAGTAACTTCTTGAATTCCCAAGAGCCTCATATCTTGTTGGACCTGATCCCACCATCTAGTTCTTGGTATTCCCCTGGGTCTTCTTCCTTCCACCGTTCCTTTCAGGATGTTTTTCAGGTTTGATTTCTCTTCTCTTCTTGGTACATGTCCACATGTCTACATCTTGGTCTCTTGCTTCTTATCTCTCCAACAATATCTGCTTCTTTATACAGCTCCATTCACTTTTGTCTTGTGTTGGGTCAAACATTTTCCTTAATATCACATTTATAAAATATTATTATTTTCCTTTCTTATTTTTTGTTGAGTATCCATGTTTCTGAGCCATATGAAGTACTGGTCAGATAATGGTTTTATATAAACGTGTTGCATCCTTCTACTTACAGCAAATCCTAATCCTCTTTGGTAACATCAATCATTATTGCCTCTATAATAAAAAAACAGTTTTTCCTGCCATAGGTCGTCTCGTTTTCTTTTATTCCAATAAGTTCAGTTTATATTGGCGATGCTCTTCTGATAATATGTCTATGGCTCTAGGTATTGCTAGCAATCTTGTGTTCCGATCTTGTACTATCTTAATACAAGAAATCAGGTTTATATTATCTGGAGAGATCAAGTCAAGGGGTCAATAAATGATGGAACAGTGCATATTTTCATAGGCATTACTTAAGTTATAAGATCAACATTTCTACATAAAATATCCAACAGAGGAGCTTAAGAGAAACAGAGGATCTTAGATGAGTTCTCTATAACATATTATCTCAGTGAACCATGTTATATTTATTCTTGGGTATAAATACCATGTGTAACATAAATAAATAAACGGTGGATGATATTTATTCTTGAACGGATGGAATTTTTAAATTTTAATTACAGATGGGGTAGTCATAGCACTGTGAGAGTTCAAATTGGTTGAAAATGGGCATATACAAGTTAACGACCATGTAACAACCACTACATAGGCTACACCGGTGGCGTAGCAAGGATATAGTTTTTGGGTGGGCCCAAACCAAGGGGTATGGAACTACCCGACCCCCAGGATATTGGGGTGCATATCGACCTAAGCTTACATGTATGATTTTCTTCCGACTTCTAGCAGGCGCCCACTGAGGAGGTAGCGTATAGCATTCCAAATTCGATGAACCTTTGAACAGTTGTAATTTTTGACTCGGTTGTCAGTTTGAGTTCGGGACTTGACCTTTGCTGCTATTTAAGAATTCTGTCTGACTCCTTGTGGGCCATACCTCTTAAGGAATAACAGCTTTAAAAAGTAGACTTTTATGGTTATTATTGATATACAAAGTCTCATTACTTGATCTATAATAGTAAAAAATACATTCCAGGACGTTTTAATCAGACTGTATAAGAAAAAAACCTCGAAAAGTGTTTTAAGTCTTTTCATCTTGACACAGGTAGAAACCACATCATAAAATTATGCCGCAGAAATGAACTTGTCTCGACTCTGTCTTTTGCCTGAACTCATTCATCTAGAAATTAAATACCATACATGCAACAAATAAAAACTGAAACATTGAAAACTAACCATAAAATGTTTGTCATTTGCAGGAGACAAATGATATAATTAGGGAAGTGGTTGATAAAAGCCATAAAACATGTGGACATGAAAAAGATAACTCAGTTTTATCTTATAAACAGATTAGAACAGTGTGTTTAGCTTAATTATTTGGTGTGACATTAACCTAGAGAATTCTCTTGTTTTTAAATCATTACCTAACTCACAATTGAAGAAAAACTATATAAATAAATCTGATATAAAGTTTTGAAATTGATAAACTAAAGGTTTTCTAGAAAAATAGCTCAAACTCTTATATAACAATTCAGCGATATTGAAATCAATGACTAACTCGTTGGATTACGCTAATCCATTGTTTAATCTAACAGAGCAATGGATAATACGAAAACTGAGTGTTTGTAAAATAACTACCTATACACACTCTAATTCAAGTATTATTACCTGTGTACCTACTGGAATAACAGCTTATGACTGTACATAATGAAAGGATTCTATCTGAAGATTTTGTACAAAAAGATTGACTAGTTGTTTTCCCTCAAAATCTAAGCAAAATTGTGGTAACCAGAAATAATGCTGGCATTAATGATTATGACCAGTGTTTGATTTATAGAAATATAGGTACCAGATTATGCAACATTCTGTACATATCAACCTTTTTTAAATAATAAAGATAGTAATAAACAGACAAAAAATAAAATCTGCAGAAATCATGTGGTTTTTGTATGGTATATGACATACCCCTGCTCGCTGTTATTAAAAGTCTTTGCTCTGAAAAGATTGTTGTGATGGTTAATTTTTAAAATTTAACTACAAAGAAAACCAATAACAAAATAAACACCCACAAACATTAAAATACCCACTAATTTATAATGTACATAAAGATTAGAACCAGAATGGACTTGTAATGGAATAGATTTGTAATTTATAACATAATGTATATTATAAATTAGTGGATATTTTATGGTTTGTGGATGTTTATTTTGTTATTGATTTACATTGTAGTTTAATTTTTGAAAATTAACACCACAACAATCTTTTCATAGCAGACTTTTAATGACAGCGAGCTGTCTTATTTCATACTAAAACAACATGACTTATGCAGATTTTATTTTTTGTGTGTGTTTATTACTATTTTTCTTATTAACTGACATACAGGGATGTGTTAAAACTTATGTTCATTCTCGGAATTTGTGTGATCTTCATCATCTCATATTCTCTCAACACATATATTCTTAGAAATAAATTTTACTTAAAAATGTATTTAAAAAAAGTAAACAATTGAATTACAAAATATGATTAGAAAAATAAAATCTAAACATACTGTATACTAAATTTTTCTCGAGACATTGCGATAAAATTATAACACTATTGTACTCATGAATTGATTTTCTTTTTACTGTTGTTCCTATGACATTGGCATTTTTTCAAACAAAAGTACAAAAATATGTTTATGGGAATGTTGTCCAACCCCTTGATTTTTGTGTGAATAAGTCAGGGATAGAACCCTCCAATTCAGCACTGAAGTTCAAAGACAGTAGCTGCATGAGGTTAGAAACACACCCCAAACATTTTCTTGAAAGTGCTAAACAAACTAAATACACTATTATTATGTATTCAAGTGAAGTAGTGAATTGAGATATGTAGTCATATGTATGGTCTCAGTTATTAAGAAGTACTTCTTGTAAAAAGACTCATCCTCTAGTATTTTATAGACAGGTGAACGGAAGTGAAAATGGATTCCGAATTACTACAAAATAGTAAGTCTTTGGCGATCAGTAAGATTTTAACCAGTGTTAGGAACCAATACTAAAGCGAACCACCCATTAATTACAAATGTGTTAATTTACAATACACAATGTATAGTTGTTGAAAGTATTTCTTTCTCTTAAAATTTGGAAAATGCATTTTAGGTCATCTTTCTAATTAATATTATTACTTAGCTTTTTCCATTTATTTTTTAAGAGATGAATTAAGTTTAAAACTCAATAACAGACTAGCAACAACATTGAATCAATGCATTTCCCTAAAATAACACAGACCATCTGTCATTGAGTATTGATTTGTATTCAAGTGTTATTGATTTTATCCTCTTCAATTTGCTATCCACACAATGGACTTAAGATCTATATAACTTACAAGAAGATCCAGTAGTCCATGATCACAGGTGAGAACGATGAATGAAACTGTATGAGATTCTCGTTTTTACTCCCACCGCTACTTAAATAATCTCCCACCTTCCACAAACAATTAAACACTCCTCAAATAGGTATAATAAGCTACTTTAATCTAAAGCCAAAATGAAGATCTGTACCTTTACAACTGTTCTGTTGTGAGATAAGAAATGTATTTCCATTTAGAAAAAGTTAAAAACTTACTTTAAGGATTAATTAGTTATTGGCTGTTTGGGCAAAATTAAAAAGTTATAAAATACCTATCAAAGACCTGATTGTATACTTTTTTACCAAGGCTGTTAATGTTTAGAGAGTTATAATTTCTGGTGTGAATATTGCTAGATGTAAATAGTTATTGGTTCTAGATGTGATCAATGTAAATTACAATTCTATTTGATATTTTGCAGCATTTTGTAATTGGTAATGTTTATGTTTCCTGATAGCTTTTTGTTAGTTCAAAACTGGACCCAGCTTCCATTAATTCTTGGGGTTTTTAGTAGATTGTCCTAGCTAAACAACCAGGTGGTCTTTAGTCTTGTCAGTAGCAAAGCTGCCATCACTCGTTCATTCAATGTTCCATGAATAGGCAATGATTTTGAAAGGCCCAAGCCTGAGGGGCTCGTCCACCTCCATGAAGTGTGTACCATTTACTGATATAGTTTAAATAATAAACCCTTTAAACACACAATAGTATTTTTACAAATAGTTCATGTAAAACTTATGATTTATTTAGGCTACTCTAATGAGTGATTTCAATAATTTTGTTTTGAAACACAGCCGTGAAAAGCGGTAGGAAAACAAAGGCCTGACAAGGGTTAACAAACTTATTGTTCTTCTTTAAATTTGACATATAATTAATATAGCTTGATACAGTATCCTACACTGTATAGCTAAACAAACAATAATGTGACTTTTGGGTAAATGCAACAATGAGAAACAACAATATCAGTAGCCAAACATTGTTATAGAAGATTGCTGTTTCTCAAGATAGACTTAATATACAATACAACTTTACTGCAATACAGATGTATTTTGCATTTTTATCATAGTGGTATTATTTTATATTGGAGTGTAAAATACGTGTTTCGCCTTCCTTTATTTCAATCGCAGCTATTTTGTGGTGTATTTGAGTTATGTGTGCTTGTGGTTATTGTATATTGAACAATAATATCTAATGAGACTGTTCATGTTAACTTAATATTTTTGTAGGATTTTTAGTTTAAAATATAAAAAATCTACTGACATTTAATCTATGTATTCTCTAGTATTTCCATGAATCATTTACAGCCCCTTCATACTCATTTTAAAAGTCTGTTTCCATGCACTTGTGAATATTTTATTTAATCTAACAATCAACAAAACAATTCTTTCATTTAATGAAGCTCCAGTAACTAAATATAAATAAATAATTTAGAACATAGGATATTGTAATTTTAACGATTAAAATTCTAGCTAAGTAATTCTATGGTACATTGAACAGACTTACTAAAGCACCTGCAAAATTATCACAACAAAAGTACAAATGTATACATTCTTTTTTCAAATGGTAAGCATTAAATAACACAGTTTAAATAATGCTTAAAACTTTAAATTACTACTTAAAGAAAATGTGTTCCTAAATTTAAATATTTAATACATTTTATTTTCATTTTTGCTCTATAAGAATATTTTATTACAACATTTAACAATATTTACCCTGAGTTTTGATTAAATTTTCAAATTACTGTAGAGGATTGTTTTATTTTTAATACTCAACAGTAACTAAAGTAACAGAGCTAGCTTTGTTGGAATCTCTCTACAGATGCAAAATAACACTTAGTGTTTGTTTGCAAGGGGAATTTTGTATACATGAGGAAACAAACAGTTGATTGCAAGATTAGTACCGCTTCAAAGACATTCTTACAAAGAACAGTTTTGTATTACTCACCCCATAAATGTATAAGTTTATTAAAATAATAATGTAAAACAAATTTCTCCAAGTAAACTAGATGTGTGATCTCAGGTCCGTCAACTGAGCGGAGCGAGCAAAAAATAAACAAATAATCTTCTTTTCTAAATAAAATGTGAATTAAAAAATAGACTATAACACAACTTAAGAAAACCTTTAATGACCAATACAATACTTCATCATATGAGTCCCTAACCTATTTACTGATTTTGTTTATATGCTTTTAACCTCCCTATCAAAAATAGCTCAATCAACAAGCCCTTGATAGTTCTTGTTCTTATTCTCGCCAACGATATCTCGGGTCCTCCACAGCCTGATCTATAGTGCAAAACTATCGCATGTCTTCTGGTAATATATTTAAATTTTAACGCACAAATTTTAAAGCATTGTTTCAGTCTATCAAGTTGATTTGACAATGTGCTAATTAGTTAAACAGCTGTTGATTTGAATTTGCATATTCAACCCCCATTTAGATAAGATCAGTTCTATATTTGCTAAAATAATATAATTAAATTTGGTCGATATCTGCACAATCAACCATTTTCCACATTAAACACAGGTTTCAGATTTTGATCTTACAATAGGGAGAAGTAGTCTACTTGCACGGTCTAAAAACAATAATAAAACCTCATGTTAATAATAGTATTTAAACATGTTTTGATTTAAGAACTGATTCAAAAGATTGTTACAATTCTCATTTATATAGATCAATATTATTTGTTACTAATAAGAAACGTTTAATCAACATAAGTGCACATTTCCAACATGCATTCTGCTTCAAAGTCAGTAACTATTTTCGGTCAATAGTAAAACGGCGGTTTTCTAATAGCCTATTCGTAGATTTGGATAAACATTTGCTTGGCATGTTTGTTAGTAAGTTAAAATACAATCTGTAAAATGCTGTACCTATTTAATCAGTTGCATTTTCTAAAATCCTGCAATACTTTCTGTATTTTCTTTGATCAGTGATTGTTACTACACAAATGTTTTTTTTTTACTTTGTAATGTAATTATATTTTATATTAGCTTGCTAAGAAGTATATGCTATGATCTTTGTTTACATCTACGTTGTTATCTTGTAACCATCATAGCAGTCCATAAGGCTAAGTTAAGGACTTAAAAATTTTATGTTAGTTTTAAATTGCACAGGCATTATCAAATTGAAATTTGTTTGTCAAATAACACGCTCACTGTTTGTCGAAATAACTCTGGTAAGTTTGGATTCAATATGTTCAGTCGTTATTGCATGATTCAATTATATCATTTGCATATGTCCCGATCTCAAAAAGTTTCGCTTGCTCCACTCAAAAATATTTTTTTTTACAATTTTTACACGCTTCTATTTGTAATCAAATATTGTATATAGCCTAGTAATCATATATATATATTCAATTTTTAAATATTCAACAATTAATGTAATGAAAATGAAAAGTTGTACGCGATCTCATTTCAGTGGATATTACTGAAATATCGGTATAATTAATCATTTTCAGGAATTCAAAAGTTATTGATGCTTAGTTGTTGATTGATGCTGTTGTTGTTTGTTGTTGTTGTTGTTGTTGTTATTATTTTTGTTATCTTTGTTGGCTACACATTTTTATTGAATGTTAATTATATCAAAGATTTATCATTGTTAGTCAACATTGCTCAGATTCTAGTTGTTGTTCTTGTTGTCTTGTCAAGTTCTCTCATTAAGTAGATTCTTAAGCCCCTTTGCATGTTTGGCTTGACCCTTAGTTATAGGAACATTGAGTAAGCATTATATAAAAAAATAATTGTAAATTGGTTTGTTTTGGACCGTTGGAAGCAAAATAAAATAAAATAAAATAAATAAATAAAATAAAATAGTTGGTAGCAATATGGACCTTAAAACCATGCCGTGACAGTGATGTGGTTGTGGGGGGTTTATATAAATTGATCAGTTCTATTTACTATGGCATTGTGTCATTTAAATTAACTCAGTAAATTAAAACAAAGATTTCACAATTTTTGGTTGAACAAAAGTGTATTGGTTAAATTCCATCGTTAATTTAAGAAAAGTTTTCAAATCAGTTTAACAAGTTTTGTTTCGAAGTTATAACGGCTTGAAAACATTTTACACGCTGAAATATGTAAAGCCTAACAATCTGGTTTGGATTTTATTTAATTTTCTTAATTAATAAGATCAGAAATGGAATTTTGAATTGTTGATGGTAATTTGTAGACCTTCAAACCCATTAACGTGTTAAGGCCGTGCATTTTATGCTAAATTTCATGCTTTCTTTCAGGTTGGTAAAATAGAAACGAAAGCACACACAACTTTGCATGTAGCATCAGTTTGTATGTAATGTATGTTAGTATCAATAACAATGCAGTCATTGATGGTTAAAATAATTCAAATACTACAAATGTTTAGTACGAAATCTCAAATTGCTGTGTAACAACTGTTTCTACAGTTTTAAGAAATATCTCTCCAAAAAGAAAACCCCTACTTTGGAGTTTTATAGCTTGCGTATTCAATAAGTATGGATATTTTTTGAAAGCCCAAAATTTCTATGTAAAAACTATAGTAGTTTATTTACCTTTATTTTCGTCCCGGCCCAAAATAGTTGTATCTACAACCATGGTTTCAACGCTAGTTGCGCCATGGTCATGTAGGCAGCCTATTTCGAGAAATATCATACTGTTAATATGTTACGCCACTTGGACACCGTCAAGGGGTATTTACATGAACACAAAAATAAAGGCACTGGAACACTCACATTTTTATGAAAAATACAAATAATTCTCTTCTCGCGAACGAAATACAGGCCTGTAATGGACTTATTTTATTGTACCGTTGTGGGAGCCGACTAGATAACACTATGCGTTATCCGGAGATTTAACATTATTATCTTAACAACGTGATATTTCTCAACATGGTACCTACGTGACCATGGTGCAGCTAGCGTCGAAGCCATGGTTGTAGATACAACCATTTTTGAACCGGGACGAAAATAAAGATAAATAAACCACTATTTATATATGTATCTTACCAGTTCAGGGAAATTCCACCGCATTGAGCTAAATGCCG